TGTACTCCACCGTCTCGGTGCCGATGATGGTCCAGCAGGAGCCGTCGTTCAGCAGCTCCCGGTTGGCTTCCTTTGGGCAGGGGGATGCCTGCGGAGAGCGCCCAGCTCCACACCCCCGCAGAGGGCAGGGTAGGGCCCCGGGGCCAGGGCACCTGGCTTCTGCTCCCGGCACCTCGGCTCCAGCGAGCCACCGCTCCGCTCCCTGGGGAGCTGGGACCGTGATGCCTTTGCCGAGAGCTTGGCGACTATGTCCCCACTGCAGCGGGCAAGCCAGAGGCAGATGGCTTTGCAGCGACTCTGACCTTAATTTGGATGCCAGCCCTCTTTGCAGGGAGACCCCTCCCAGTGACATGGTCCCCAGCCAGCAGCAATGCAGAGGAGCTTGGAGAGAGGACAGGGAGCACCCTGCGGGTCCCAAGCCCCTCCTCACGCTACCATACCTGGAACTGGATCACTTTCTCCGTGGACAGACACAGGTACATGCGGTCACTGCCCTGAAACTGGAAGGCACACTTGTGGAGCTGGGAGATGGGCTCGTCCACGTCGAGCATGGCGTACTGCTTCGTCACCTTCCGGATGACCTGCGGGGCGGCAGCAGTGCCCCAGCGATGGCACCCGTCACCCAGAGGCACGGCCAGGTCTGTGGGCCTGGACCCACGGGGCTGGAGGCTTACCAGGGGAGGCAGGGTGATGCCGGTGGCCGTGCAGATGAGCTGGACCACGGAGCCGTAGCGGATGTACCCTTCCCGCAGCGGGAACTCGCTCTGGGCGCAGGGCTCCTCGGCTTGCCAGGCAGGAAAGAGGCAGAGTCACTGTCCCGAGCGGCCGGGGAGCAGCTCAGCCTGGGCTGCCTCGCTGGGCATGGATCTGGCTGTGCTCCCAGTGCTCTCTTAGTTTCTCTGTTGGGCAGGTGCTCACTGCGTGGGGCCCATGGTTCCCTGGGAGCCCAGCTCGGGAGAGCAGGCTGGGATGTGGTACCTCGCAGGGACACTGCTGGAGGCAGCGTGGGCAGGGATGCTGCTGGGTTATGGCCTTTCCAGGCAAGTTACTTGCCTGGATTTATGAACACCCAGACCTCTTGCTGTCTTGGTCACAGCCTGTGTGCCCTCACGGCACGATGCCAACCCTCAAAGACAGTGGGATACAGCCATCAGCTCCAGAAATACACCAGGAACACCAGGCAGAGGTGAGACATGAGCCAGATTCCTGCATCCCCTGGCTAATTCCCACCCCTTTTGCCCCCAAGAACTGGCTTTGTAGAAAGGGGGGAGCCAGGGCTGGAGGCAGGCAGCCCTGGGCACAGCCAGTGTGCTCCTTACCCAGGTGGAGGGTGAAGGCTGCCCACTGCCTGGCGCTGGCAATGAAGGCTCCCCCCTCCACAGAGAGGTAGCGGGTGCTGACGGTCTGGGAGCGCAGGCGGTTGAAGAGGGAGACTTTGGAGCCTGAGGAGATGCAGACTGTGGGGAGAGGTGCCTGGGTTAGCGCTTGCTGGGTCCATGTTTGAACGTGCTTGAACTGGGGCTTCGTCACACCAAGGGAGGACAAGTCCTGGTTACTGGTGTAACCAGCCCAGAAGAAGCCAGCGCCCTCCCTGGCTGCCTTCCTCTGTATCTGAGTGCCAACCCAGCTGGGCTTTCCAAAGGTGCAGCCCATGGAGTGATGAGCGTGTAGTCATCAGGGCATTACACGTTGTGGTGGGTGAACCGTTTGGAAATGAGACATCCATATATCCATCAATATATCCCCCTCTTTGGGGGGTACCTATGGGCTTTGGGTCCAGCCTGGACCCCTCTGGAGCCAAGCCGTAAGCACTCAGACGTCCTCCCACCCTGGCTCGTGCCCGCGGAGCCATCCCCGTACGCACGGTCCGTGTTCTTCAGCGACTGCTTCTTCTGCGAGGGCTTGGAGATGACCTTGATCAGCTTGCTGTGGAAGGTGCCGATCTCCTGCCCGTTGCTGAAGAAGAGCTTCAGGACGAGGCGGAAATGCTTCCGCTTGTCTGCGTCCGAGATGTACAGCGCCTTGGCACAGCTGAAGCCCTGCCAAGGGCAGAGAGGAGCTGCTGGCAGCGATAGCCCAGCCCCACCAGCCCTCCTTGCTCTCCTCACTGCCCCACAAGGACATAATAGCATCCTTTCAAAGAGCCCCAGCCTCATTTAAAGGAGGAAACGACTGTAGATGTTATTACAGGTGGAAGGAAGAGCTGGGGATCAGCAGAGGCTTTATTTACACTGGTGGCAGAGAATTCTTCATGGAAATGAATGTTCACGTGTGATTTATCCCACATAATATGAGAAATCACCCTGGGTTTATGGTTTCCCCACCATCCTGGCCGATATGCCATGTCTTAGCAGCAAGGCAAGCACTGCAGACAAAGGCTCTCTTTATAAGCTTTCTGGCCTGACTCAGAGCCCACGCTCTTTGGGGACCCCAGATAATGCTTTGTCTTCTTTTTTCCCCCTATCAGAAGATGCCAGGCCTCTGCTGAAGCTCTTGAACTTTGGGATCAATTTGGGCATTTTTTTTTTTCGTCTGTTTATCTGTGAATGGGAGACTGGGCTTTCATTTTGTGGTAAGCTGCAGTGCTGCTCATGGGGACAAGGTACTGGGGTGATGGAGCTGCACAAATTTTGGCAGCTCGCCCCCCACAAGGGCTGTCGACCTGCAAAGACGGTGCCGAAGACAGACGGGTCTCTTTGCAAGGCAGGGGAGCCTGCCCGGCTGCTCGGGCTGCCCCACGTGCCACAACAGGGTGGCAAAGCAGGAGCAGGGAGCGATGGCTGGGAAGGAAGGAGCACGACACCCTACCCAAGGGGACACTGTGACATCCCAGGTGTGGGGTGCTGGTGGTGACCCCTGTGTGAGCAGGGTCCCCACAGCCCCAGGGAGCGTTGGGCTTTACCTTTGCGTCTGGCTGCTCTTCGAAGCTGAGCTTCTGGGTCTCCATCAGGCTGCTGCCCATGCTGTCCAGCCCCATGTACCCGCACACCCGAAAACCCACCTCTCCCTGGTCCCTGGCTGGAAGAGATGGGGAGAAGCACCCTCCAGCCCCCCACAGGCGCCTGCACCTCGGGGGGCTCACTCAAGGAGCAAAGAGGAGTTTGGGGAGGCAAGGATAAACTACGCTGGGTCACCCCCCGTTTTGTGGAGGTGGAGGGCAGCTCTCTGTAGCACGGGGAGGGAAGGGAGGACAGGGCCAGGGATGCCACCCAGTGCTTACCTTTTATCTGTTCTTGTTTTAACTTCCATCCTGGCCCGCTCAGGTAAACGCAAGGTGGGGGGCAGAAAAACCTGCAGAGACAAGAGGATGTTTTCTTATACTTTTCCTTATTCTTCAGCATCCAGAAAAGGTGCTTGGGGGTGATGTCATGACTGAAATGAGAGTGAAGAACTTTGCTGGGGCCCATAGCACCAGGAGCATCCCTGTGCCCTGGGAGGCACGCGATGCTGCAGCGTGGGGCTGTGGACCCCTGGCTTGGGGGCACAGGCAGGGCTGGCACAGAGAGGCTGTGAATGTCCCATCCCTGGAAGGGTTCAGGGTCAGGCTGGACAGGGCTTTGAGCAACCTGGTCTACTGGAAGGTGTCCTGCCCAAGGCAAGGGAGTTGAAATTGGCTGCCTTAAGGTCCTTTCCAACCCAAACCATTCCATGATGATGATTCTATGAATCAGGCTCTGCTGAAGCAGCTGTTTCAGCCTCTCTGCCTCCAGCTGCAGCATCTGGCCCCAGCTCGGGTGGCTGCCACATCTATTAGCAGGGCCTGTTCTGACAGGACAAGGGGTGATGGTTTTAAACTAAAAGAGGGAGATTCAGACTAGATGTAAGCAAGAAATTTTTTACACTGAGGGTGGGTTGACCCCCTGGAGAGGTGTTGTCGCTGCCCCATCCCTGGAACCATTCCAGGTGAGGTTGGCCGGGGCTCTGAGCAACCTGCTCTAGTTGCAGATGTCCCTGCTCACTACAGGGGAGTTGGATGAAATTACCTTTAAAGGTCCCTTCCAAGCCAAACCATTTTATGATTCTATGACCTGGCAGTGCTGCTGGTGGCCAAAAGCCCACTGGCCCTGGGATGGTCCCAGGAGGGGAGGACAGGTCCCCTCTGCCCACCCGCTGTGTGGGAGTTAGGGCAGGCTGGGAACAGAGTTTGCATTCACAGCCAGATTCAGAGCATAGTGCAAATAAACCTATAGCCAGGGTTTTAGAAACCTACCTTTCTGTGTTTTATTTGCATTTCCACTGTCTTTGCACTTGGGTGAATGGCACAAATTCATCCTCTCTTGACACTGGGTAAAGTGCTAGCAGAGGAAACACCAGTGCAGGGGCTTGGGTATTTCAGAGCCCCAAACCCCTAGGTATGGGTTTATTTAAACAAGTCCTCCACAGCACGGGCCTCTGACTCCCACCATGAAGAAAAATGGCACCAGCACCTTTAAACTTTAACCTGGGAGCTTTGTGCTGGTTTTTGTTTTCTACCTGATTTTCATGCTCATCTCTTGTATGGGTCTGGAGCAGGGCAAAGAGACTGCCCCAAAGGCTCAGAAATACAAGGGCTTCCCTCCTGGCTGGGAGACCCAGTCCCAAAATCAAACCAGCAGCCCCTGGGAGGAGACTGGATGTGATGAGGACTTTGTAGGCACAGACAGTCCAGCCTAGAGCTGTCTCCAGTGGTCGCTGGGTTCTGGGTGGGTTAGGCCTTGGAGGTAGAGCTTGTCACCTCATAGCTATTCCACACTCGGCAATAAAGGAGAATTATTTATTTCACAAGGACTAATGGATGATTAATTATATTACAGTGCCACAGTCTGACGTCACTGCCCCGGAGTAGCTATTTTGGAGATTCAAGCCAGAACCTCAAAGTATTTTTTCAGTGTGGGAATGATTTTCAAAAATAGCAGCTTTTTGGAGACTGTGGCCACTGATGGAAACACCCCAGTCCTTGCTGTAGCTATTCAGATATTAAGGCAAGATTTCCAGAGCACTTAAACCACCAACCTGTCCTCTTCTTTGTTTTTGTAACTTCATTTTTGGAAGGTAACATTTTCTTTTACTTCATTCTGCTGCTCTCCCATACTTCATGGGAGGAACCTCACCACCAGGAATGCCTAGGTGGGATGGATGTGGGCAGGGTTAGCAGCCTTATTCACTTCATGAAGAACTAAACAGTGGGTTTGGATGTAAAGAGGTCATGGGTGGATGGAGAGAGGGGGCATGTTACACCATTTGTTTCACCAGCTTAGGTCAGGGAAATCTCACAAGGTTGAACAGTTTGGAAGTGGCTCTTGGAGAAGCTGGAGTGATCTCCTACCTTTTTTCATTGCCATAAGACTTCTGGGCGACTTTGGCGTGCAGTATCAGCACTGTCTGGTCTGCTGGCAGCTGCAGGTACCTCCGCACACCGTCTCGAAGCAGGTTGGTTTGGTACAGGCTGGATCTACAAGACAGTGGTTCCCCAGCACTGGAACACCAGAACTGGGGTCCTTGCCCTGACTGAGCTGTAGAGCCTGGAGCTCCCTCTGCGTCCAGCCTGACAGGGTGGGGAAGGTGGAGAGGCTTTCCCATCAGAAAGCAGCTGGAGCTCAGAGAGCAGCTCAGCTGCTACAACACCAGGTCTGGCACTGAAGAAATATGAAGTTTGGATAACTGAGTAACTGCTTCATCAGTTTTCAATCAAAACCACACAGGGCACTATGTTTATAGCCCTGAAACAGGCATTTCTAAGACTTCCAGTCCTGCACGATGGTGGCAGTGCTCGAATTAATTATTAATTTGTGTTTCCCCCCTTGTTGCCACGTGGCTTTTTGGTGAGTTGGGAAACGCTGCTGCCGAACCATGAGTGCAGCTGGGGAGCTGTCATGTGAGGAGGAGCTGCTTGTTGGCTTCTGCAAGGGCTGTTGGGTGAAAAGAGCTGCATTCTTCTCCAAGATCTAAGAAGTGGGTGGTTTTGCTCATTCTTTCTGCTCTATTAACTAGGAGTTCCCAAGCAGCTGGCATTTAACTCTGCTAACTTGGTGGGTTGGGTGTTAACCAGCTAAAGAGAGATGAGGTGGGTCCAAGCCTGAGGTGCCAACTGGGACACGTGTGCCAGAACTCAGGGATGAGCAGGGGGACAGTTATGGGATGTCTGGGGGATCAATCGGAGGAGAAGCCATGGCCACCCAGGGAAAATCTTGCAAGAGATACACCGCAGAATATCTCCATTAAGAACCACCTCTCTTCCCCTTAAATGGGCCAGAAATGGAGAATAACTGAGGGCACAAATGGTCAGATGTGTGACCAGAGGTAAAGCTGGACCTGCCAAGCACCCCAAGCTTGAAAAGCTTCACTCTGGCCTTCCTCTCTGCTGAATGGTTTGTATCATTGCACAGCCAAAGAGATCCCATAAGAAAGTTATTTAATCTTTTTCCATGATGGCAACCTGCAGCTGTCTCAGCCCTGCCCTTGCTGTTTTCCCCTTCATCTAAAAGCACCGTCTGGGACTCTGCCTCCAAAAGTCTTTTTTTCTTTTTCTTTTTTTTTTTTTTTTTTTTTTCACAGAGCTACTGATTGTGATCAGGATAAAGTGGAATAAAGTGGAAATGGATGGAGGGAAAGGCTGCCCATTGGCCTCCCCCTGGATATGCTCTGACATTGACGCAACACACTGAAAAGTGAGTACTAAACCTTGCTGGCTCTGTTCAGCAGCACTTCACCCACAGTTCACCAGAGACAATGGGCACAGAGCAGAGGAGAACCAGGCTGGGGTGTGAATCTTTTCCTGGTGAGCCTCATCATTCAGTATTCAGTGCAGAATGAGGAATGTAGCTTTGGGTCCTTGCTTGTATATCCCCGCTGCAGGGACACGCTCCATCCCCATCAGTGTCACCCACCAGCACCAACGTGTCCACCAGCACCCATCTGCCTGGCTTGGGGTCTGCCTGGGAAGCAGGGATCCTTGGGGAGCTGCTGGAGGAGCCTCTCCCACTATTAACCCTTCGGTGGAGTGAGGAACAGCCTGGTACCGAGGCCAGGCAGCAGCAGGGAGTGTTCAGGAGCTAGCTGCCAAACCCGGTGGATTAAGACGTGTGCTGACAGCGTGGCCAGCAGCAATGCTGCTCTGCAGAGCCTCCAGCAGCCCTGGCTCGGGGCAGGGCCAGGCTTGTGCTGCTATCACTGCTCCCTGCCATCCGCACGTAATACCAGAGGCACGTGGATTCCTGCCTGCAGCTTATTGAAGAGCCTTCTGGAATAATTGCCCACATGCTATTTACTGCTTAAAGTGGGAATGTGTGTGCCAAAGGCCGGTAAACAGACCGTAGTTCTCCTGATTTGATGTCTAGCTGGAGAAATAACTACCTAGAAACTTGTTTTGCTTTTCTTTGTCCAATCTCTGCAGCTATTGCCTTCCAAATTTGGGGGCTAAATTGTTTCAGTGACGCACTTCTGAACAGTGCTCACCATTCTGCCCACGGAGGCGACCACCCAGCATCCATCATCTGGTTTAAATTTACCTTCAGAGAGTCAAAGGGCTATTGCTAAGGCAGCTCAATGTACCCACTTGGCTCCTTCTGGCACCGGCAGCCTCCTCAGGGTTACAGGGAATTATTCACTCCTCCTGACATTTATTATAGTAAATTATTAAAATGCTTTGATTGTAGTGCAGTGTTAGTTCAGTGTCATGTTAGCAGCATGGCACGGGCCAGGCTCTTAGAGCTCCAGCTAAAAGCCTCCTTTTCAGAGCCCGAGGTCTCAGCTGGGACTCGCCTGCTCTCGCACACAGTTGGGCATTATGTGGAAGCAAGGAGGGAGCCCCCACCTTTCCCCTGCACTGATTTTTGGAAGCCTTTCCCCCTCCCCATTCAGCCTGGCATCGCTTGCCACCAGGACTTGTCCCTCGCTTTAGGTCAGGATGTGCCTCAGGAGAGGGTGCGAGTGCGCTTTGAGGTGCATCTCTGGGGTGGCTCTGCCCTGGAGTTGGGGGTGGGAGAGGCTCAGGGCACCCCTGTGGGTATTTGCAAGCCCTGCCCATGTTGCTGTGCCCTCCTCCATGGGGAATGAAGCAAAAAAGGAGGTATGCTCTTCACAGGAGACATGCAGCTGGACCATCTGTGACCAGCAGATCGAGGGAGGTGACTCTGCTGCTCTCCTCTGCTCTGGTGACACCCCACCCGCAGTGCTGGGTCCAGCCCTGGAGTACCCAGTGTAAGACAGACATGGGCCTGTTGGAGCAGGTCCAGAGGAGGGATGCAAAACTGGTCAGAGGACTGGAGCACCTCTTCTCTGAGGACAGGCTGAGGGAGTTGGGGGTTGTTCAGCCTGGAGAAAAAAAAGGCTTTTGGGAGACCTTACTGTAGCCTTTCAGTACTTAGAGGGGGCTTATTAGAAAGACAGGGACAATCATTTTAGCAGGGCCTATTGCAACAGGACACAGGGTGATGGTTTTAAACTAAAAGAGAGTGATTTAAACTAGAGAGAAGACATATTTTACACTGAGGTTGGTGAGACCCTGGCCTAGGTTGCCCGGAGAGGTGGTCAATGCCCCATCCCTGGAACCATTCCAGGTCAGGCTGGTCAGGGCTCTGAGCAACCTGCTCTACTTGGAGATGTCCCAGCTCACTGCAGCAGGGTTGGACCAGATGATGTTTAAAAGCCCCTTCCAACCCAAACCTTTCTGTGAATCTATGATCTCAAGAAGGGCTCTTTTAAGGGCACCCCGGGAAGCCAGGCAGGCACCATGAGGCTTTGGTAGGGTCAGACCCTGCAGTCAGCACACTGATTTTAGAAGAGCTGTTTAACCTGGCAGCTGGAAATCAGCCCTCCCCTTCCCAGCAGCAGGCGTGGGGAGCATCCATCACCCAGCATCTTGTCCTGCCTCCAGCTGGAAATGCTGCTTCTTCCTGGGTGCCGTGGGTCGGGCAGGGCTGTGCATCACTGGCTCCCTCCCCCCAGAGCACTGCAGCTCGGTGCATCCCACCTCCCTGCTCCAGGGGGGGATCCCCCCACCACAGGCACAGCTCCTGCCTGCGCCACACGCGGGGATAACCCACCCAAGGGGCTTCTGCAGCTCAGCCTTCTCCTGCCACCGGGTCCCCATCGAGACAGCCACGCTCATGGTGTGGGATATATCCTGGTCCCCACACCACCTCCTGCTGGGCAGTCCCACCACACCCTGTGTGTGCGCCCCTGGGCCACCACAGGAGCAGAAAAAGCAGTTTATGGGCACTGGGAGAAGCAAACCTGCCCCTGTACTGCTACTTCCCCGTTCACTGACGTTCACCAGCTCAGGCTGCAGAGAAGGGATCTGGTTTTTTTTGGTCCCCTGGGAATGAAAGTACCCAACTCAAGAGACCAAAATACGATCCCAGCAGCTATTGTTTAGAAACTAGGTCTTCAAATCAGCTCTTTATACAAGAGCCTTAACTCATGGTAACAGTGTCCTCAAGTGCAGGTAACGCTGAATTCAAGTGCAGAGATTTAATTTGCTGCTTTCCCCTCCCCAGCCCCCCCAAAAGGAGCTGCTGTTTGCCTCGCTCAGGAGGTGGCTGCCCTGCAGCTTGCTGGGGACTTGCTGCCACAGAGGGCAATTGTTCTTTCCTCAGCTTGGGGAAACCAAACATCCTAATAAAAAATATCCATTTTAGAGGTCTGGGTTGTATTTTGTACAGAGCAGGGGAGAAAACGCCTGCAGTGCTCTTGGGTATGGAGTCAATGCAATGTTTATGCAAAAGGAAAAGCCATTAGAAATCACAGAAATGAGAAGCCTGCAGTTTCTGGCTTCCCTCATTTTTCAATACCTCCTTTAATCCAGACCAACCCAACCCACAAGCCCTGGTATATGCATGGCTGTTTGGGTATTTATAAATCCTATATTTTCCTCACTGCACATACAAGTGAAATTCAGCCTTTTCTGAGCTTGGGGGATTTATTGGCCACGCCAACAGCAAACACCAGCCGAGACCAGGAGGCATGAAAACCCAGCAGCAGGGAGCTCTGTGGGGAACTGGGGGCCAGCCAGGGTGGGCACCCCAGGCATGTTCCCAGCTACATTGAGCCTGCCCCTGCAGCACCAGCACCCTCAAAATGCCCAAGTTTGATAATGCAGTACTGGCTTGTCTGCTCGAAAATACAGATAACCTGGGTGATGTGTTGTTATCTCCTTTCCCTGTGCTCATGAAGTCAGTGATGTTACTGCAGAGAGGAAGGAAAGTGCTGTTAAAGCACTTAAGTTGGTTCCTACCACCACTAGATTGGTCTAAGTGCTGAGAAGAAGTGGAGGGCTGGGAAGGTCTGAGTGTCCAAGCCACTCCTAAGAGGACAGATTCAGACTAGAGATAAGGAAGACATTTTTTACAGAGGGTGGTGAGCCCCTGGCCCAGGTTGCCCGGAGAGGTGGTCGCTGCCCCATCCCTGGAACCATTCCAGGGGAGGTTGGCCGGGGCTCTGAGCACCCTGCTC